ATTGTCATTGTTTTCGAACTTTCTTCTTTTCCATTTTCGTACGTTGTTGCCTCGTTTCCGAATGTTTTTACGCAACAAATCGTTAAATGTCGCCGTCTTTTGTATCATTCATGCGGTGACATTTTAATCAGGGTTGATTCCATCATTCGATGGAATTACACCGTTGTTGTGCTGTATCTCTCTCTCTCTCTCTCTCTTTCTCCCTTTTTTTCGTCGTTTATTTATTTCGCCACAAAATGATAAATATCAAAGAGAAATGAGAAAAGGAGTGCATTGGTCAGCGAAATCAATGTCGCCAATACTGGTGACGCCAATACATTAATTGACGTCTCGTTATCTCTTCTTTGTTTTCTTCATTACATTGCCTTTTTGCCGAAGCCATTATAACGGAAGCCATTGCATTGCAGCAACACCTGTGGATTTTTGCTAAATAAATAAGACACAAACGAACGAATGACACAAAAAAAGTGTCATGCAATTTTCCCACCACGCGCGCACTTAAACGAATTCAAAAGAATGCAATAACAACTACAACAAATAAACAAAATCATCTGATCATACAACGTGTTCTTTTTCTCATTCAAACGTCAAAACAAAATAAAAAGACACGTTGAATACAACAACAACAAGGCTGCCACACACATACACAAACATAAGCACCATTTTTACGTCGGCGACATTGAATTTTCGTTTTTCTTTTCGTCCCCGCTCACACGCCAAAAAATATATATATATAAACATAATCGAGTCGAGAGCGAACAAAAACGTAGCTAAAGAGAGAAAAAAACCCGGACGAGTGCCGGCATGATGTGGCCGTATTACATATAAATAATATGAATATATAACGTTTTTTCGAATCGAAATACAAAATCAAAACATGCATAGCCAACGACTTTCGGCGAGCTACACATAATTAACAGAATAACAACACAAACGGCACAGAAAAATCCATTTGGAAGAAAAAAAAAGTTGTGTACCGGCAAATGCCGCTATGCGCTCGACAAACGTACAGAAGAAGCAAAAAAAACACGCTCAGCACCAACAATGAACGACGATGACGATAGCGGCAGCGTGCCGCGCACATGAGTTACGAAGAAACATCAGCAAAACCGAACAACAACTCCAACCGTATAGCTACTGTATTCATAAAATTTATGCTAGAAAAGAATTTGTAAACACACCGAAAAACCATTGAAGCACCGGCACACCGAAAGAAAAAAAATATTATATCGCTGTATATATACAGTGCGAGAATATAGGAGGAAAAAAAAGCAGCGCCGAGACGAAGGGAAAAAAGCAGCAGCAACAGCAGTAGTAACAACAACAATTGTTATTACACAAAGACGTCTCTTTATTAAATGAGGAAAAAGTGAAACGCTTAAATACATTCGGATGATGACGGTTTTACGAGAAAAGTAGACTAAATGCCTCGTTTTTTTTCTGCTCTCACCCGCCATTGGCTTCCACTGTTGCTGTTGCTCCTTTTTTTTCGCTGCCTTTACGAGTTTTTCAGTTCCACTTTTCCTACGCGAACAATCGATTTTAGCTGAATGATGTTAAGAGCTTTTTGAAATTGTTCTACGATTCAATAGACATAATACGCTATGCAGAACCGTGGACGGCGTTTAATTATTGAGGAGTTTTCCTTCAACCTTTTTTTCCTGCTTCCACGTGAAATTCGACCTTTTCGTTGAGTTTTCGAACTTAAGTCAGCTCATTTACACGTTTCCTCCAAACATCTATCATGCCTTTTGATTCTGACGATGATGGAAACGACGACGTCATAATTGCAAAACTGCACTAAATAGAATGAAACATAATTGAAAGGGAGAGGGAGAGATAGAAACGATTGAAGAAAAAAAAACACTTATTGATTTACGGTAAATAAGCCCTATTTATAACACTTGTTACAAATCATCACGCTCCATAATGGCAGTCAAGTCTATTTATGGTGCTGTTATATTTCTTTTTTTTCTTTCATTTCGTGTATGAATAAAAGCATATAAAAGTGAGTTGATTCGCTTTGGCCAATGTTGTCGTAGTCCCCATTGCCTTTTCTCGTCAATGGCTATAAGACGCGTCGTCTACTCTTGGTTCTTTTCTTGTGCTTGTGCTACATTTTTTTTCCGCTCTCGCCTTCTGTCTTTTGTATTCATTATGATTCTCTCTCTCCAGCAGCAAAACGGAATACAAATATAATCAGAAAGTGAAGAAAAAACCATTCAATTCATTCAACGATTACACACTATGAGAAGTGTTGGGTGTTCGCGTGGCCTGTAAATACATATAGACGACATCAAATTCAGATGCTTCATTATTATGTAATAATATCATCTAATGCTCTACCATTCATTTGAACACTTTGTTCAACGAAAGATGTTCTTTTGCCCCGCGCACACACATACATACACACACTTCATTGTCAGTCGTAGTCGTCATCTGTTGGTGTGTTCCAAACAGTAACAGCACCAACAACAACCAGACGAATGAAAAACGTACAAACTGAATGAATGAACGTATGAATGAATCAAGCATTCCCAAGCTCTTTTTCAATATACAATATATATGTCTATACATGATGTGTATACTTTCAATGGTGCCTGAGCATTAAAGCATTTTTAGCCGGTTCGGTTTCTTCGTCAATGATTCGCATATAAAGACAGTTTGGCGCGCGCGAGCAAGCAAAAGCAAGAGCGCTCACCAAGGGTACACTTCCACATCCAACATAAACCGAATATAACAAATCGCATGCTAATGAAAAATAATATGAAGCGTACTTATGAAAGCAGAAGCAGCCAAAGCCAACGAGCCAACGTCAAAGCATCTCCCATCACATAGATGATTGTGTGTTTGAATCAACGTCTCAGTCACTCTCTCTATCTCTGTGTGTTCCACGTTCTGTTTGACTGGCGAATGTGTTTTGTGTGCCGGTTTTTATTTGTTCTTTCCACATTTTTACTTTTTTGTTGTTGTTGCTGATGTTCATATTGAAGCCAAGCATCTCCATTTGTTCCGTGTACATTCGGAAGCATCATCGTCACAAGCAGCAACCGAAACAGCATTGGCATTATCATCAGCAACAGCAGCAGCTCACACAGTACACAGAAGATGTGTATGCAATGGGATGTTGTGTTATTGAGTCAAGGCATTCGCCATACTTTATAAATATATATGCGATACGTTCCATCACGGTGTGATTTTTTTTTGTATTCACTCTTAAGTTTATTTGTTGGCCCGGCACTGTGTGTATGTGTGTGTTTTTTTTCTTCATGCTTTTTCGCCTTTTTGTGTCGATGATTCAATGTAACATTGACAATGTTTACACGATGTTCATCGCTCTTTTTTATATATATTCATTTTGTATTTGGAGTTTTGTTGCCGGCGTATTGCTACTCATTCACTTTTTTTTCACATTTCTCTCTCTCTCTCTGTACGTCTGTCGCTCGCTTTCGTTCGTTCGGTCGGTCGGTCGACGTTACACTTTATTTTTTTCCCCACATTGTGCATTGAATACACATAATATGTTTTATATTATACAAATTCTGAATAAACACAAAACCAATGCGAAGCAACAGCGACGGCAGCGGTGGCAGCATTAACACAACAACCAGTCAGAGTGAACAAAAAAAAGTGTGTACATGGCAAGCGCCAGACTTACTGTCAGAAAAAGAGTATTCATTCATATTGTATGTATAAAATTTGTGCAATTGAGCTGCTGCTGGTGGTATAGTTGTTGTTGTTATTGCCGCCGGTTGCCGGCTTCAGGTTCAGCGTTTTCCGTTCGCATTGCTTTTTTGTGTGTGTAAATATAAGCGTGAGCACAAAAGCAAAACTGTTCTTTTCTCACACAAAGGATCACCGGGTTTTCTGCTAGCTATATGTTGGTATTATTATTATTTTGGTGCTGCTTCTCTCGGTACGCTCTCACTCTCTGACTCGATTTTCACTTCTCGCTTCGCTTCTTTTTTTTGTCGACACTCACACTCACTCACTCTCTATGTTTATTCTTCGAAACTACGCACTCTCGCTTTCTCTGTGTGCTTTTCAGACAGCAATTGTTTTGAATTGCAAGAGAGAAAGAGAGAAGTTTTCCGTGTTCCGTGTTCTATGTAGCAAATGTTGATTTTGGTATTCGGAAGTTTTGCGCCACGCTTACTGTATGTTGTTGAAAATGAGTGAGTGAGTGCTGCTGCTGCTATTGCCGGCACACAGATATCATTATTATTGTACTATTAGTACGGCATTTACTCTTTCCGATCATATGATGACGATGAAAAGTGACTGTGAAAAAAAGAGAGCACAACGTTCTGTCGGTGGATTTTCATCGCTGCTCTTTTTTTTTTCATCGCCCTGCTGATGCATTCGGTGTGTTGTTCCAGTGCAGTTTTGTGTGTGTGCCGCTTGTTGTTATTCGCAATATGTTTGTGTACGTAATGTGTTACGGTTTATTATATAAATGTGCAATGTTTGATATTGAAAGGGATCGGCAACCAATTCGAACATAGACGAGCACAAAGTGAATTTTTCTCGCTCGATTCGCGTGTACGTCACTCGCTCTCTCTCCCTCAACACTGTATTGTATAGCTCAACATGGAACGGGCGTTTCAATATGTCACCAGTTCGTCTCACTTACATTCGATGGCAGTGTAGATAGAGTGGGAACAGTTGAACGAGAACCGTTTCTATTATTGGGCTCTTTTTGTTACCATTTTTCTATTGAACATTCCACGAATCATGAGCACACATCAATGCTTTGTGTATGTGCAATGTGCATAGATAGGATCAAGGACGACTATATTTACTACTATGGGTTCGTCGCATTTTCTAGGTCATTTTAAATCCTAGTGAGGCTTTACATAATATTTATTTGATTTTTTTTTTTCGTCGACACATGGGCATTTTTGTGATAATTCGGAAAATTATGTCAAAATTTCTTTTCGTTTTTACTTTTGAATTCGTGTGATTAATAATTTCTTCCTTTCTCTCTTTTCCATAAATAGAATCAGCATATACAAGAACATCAAATCCAACAAAATCATCAACAAAATAATCAAAACAATCAGCATTTGCACCAGATCCAGCCAACTGCACCGGTTAAGATGGGACGTGGTAAGCATGCGGACGGTAAGCCAAGAGGACGCATGACAGCATATGCATTCTTTGTGCAAACTTGTCGCGAAGAACACAAAAAGAAGCATCCGGAAGAACAAGTTGTTTTTGCTGAATTCTCAAGGAAGTGCGCCGAACGATGGAAGGTAAGTGCTAGCCACAAATATGATCTAAGTCACACCACATTTAATTCGCTTATTGTTTCGACTTTCAATCGAAATATTACGTGTATTTTTCTTCTTTAATCTGCAAATTTTATGTTTTTAAAATTGAACGTCGCATGACAACACTCACTTGCGATAAATATTTTGAAAAAAAAAACAAGTAGTAAACAGAGCGAAAAATTTCATCGCCACTTCATTGTTATGTTTTTTTTTCCTTCGTTGAATTGGTTTAATTACTTCTAATTTAAGAGTATTTAATACGCCAAATAAGAGGTGTACAAATAAGGCGGCAAAGAAAGAGCGGAAAAATAGCGAAAAGAAAAATTTCATGCAAAATAAAGCAATTTAAATTTCAGCACCATTAGCTAGTGTTTCATTTTCATTTGAAAAATTGGCCTGATTTTAAATTTAAAAGCAGTGACTTTGTCCGAAATAAAACGAATACTGAATGTTCAAAACAAAATGAACGAATTCTATTCAACGATTACATAATTGATTTATTTTCTTCCTTAACTATTTCTATCCTGTCACAATTTTGGCCACGTGGAAGTGTTTGAGTGTTTGTAGCTTGTTTAGTTTTTTTTATGTGAATCGCGTTAAAATTAATTTTCTCCGTTTATGCTGAAAATAAATTGATCAATAAAAATTTTGTTATTTTATAAAAGTTGAAGCTATAAAAATTGAAAAACCGGCCAAATGCGCGGCAACTGCATCAACACCAAACTTGAATCGCAATTAAAACCAATTAAAATCCTGATTGATTTATGGCTGTAGTTGGAATTGAGAAATTCCATTAAATTATTTTACATTTTTCCCGCGAGCCAATGGCAACAAAAAAAATGCACACACACATGGAGAGAGAGAGGCACACAAAGGCTTTGTCATTGTCTATGAGTCCACTGGAAATGGCCACATCACAAACATGGAATTGTAAGCAATTTCATTTGATCGATGTAAAACATGGTGAACCTTCGAATTCAATTCAATTCGCTGAACTTAAAGTACATGAGTTGTCAACCTCTCACAATCCAAACTAACAGACGAAACAAAAAAATTGAGAGCATACAAAATCGGGTCGATTTAGCCTGTCATAATTCAGCGCAGTAATTCCATTGGAAAAATACACCAAAAATAACCGAAAAAGAATTTCATACACACATTCACTCACACACATGGAAAAAACCATGCAGCCCGAACAGTTTATCTCGTGGAAATGAGCCGTTTTTTGCGTCGACATTTTGATATTTCTATAAAGTTTTTTTTTATTCTGTTTCATTTCGCCACGAACTCTAAAATTTATTGCATTCTGGCATCACACGGGCGACGTATATTGGAAAATAAAATTTATTTTTGGTTCATTTCGTTCGGTTTCTGTGTGTTCGGTTCGGTTGTGAATCGCATGATTCGTTATTTTTGGCAAAAGTACTCTGATGTTCATTTTTTTCTCTCTTCGGTTTTCGTTTTCTGCCTTTGTTGAATGATTACATTCATTAAGGTTCCGGTGATTTTTCAAACTTTGGCTTCGACTACGACATTTCGTTTTAATTGCGTCGGCCTGTCTGTATGCCGCCTTGCCCACCCGATGATTTTCATTGAAAATTATGCTAAAATGGGTATAATAAATTTAAACAAAATCAAGAACGAACTGAGTCAAAAAAATATGCTTCATCTTAAAACGACAGCAACCATGTTAAAGTGGTAGAAAGACAAAAATTAGATCATTCCACATTTTAAAATGTATTTTCTAAAAACACCGAAGAACAAGAGCACACGTAGCACATTTCTTCGAAAAGTTTCTTTCAACAATTTAGGCACATCGCATACTCCAAAAGTATGTATACTCATGGCGCATTTCGTATTCGAATACAAATAAATCGATAAAAGGCCATACATACAAGTTATAGCGGGAACGAGCATTTGATTCGCATTTTCAGTCGAATGAGCGAACATAAAGAGCGAGAGGGAGAAATAGAAAGAGCTCGAGAAAATTTATTGTTTGGAAAAACGAAAATTTTCGAGTACATAATGTATTTCCTTTCCGTTTCACTATGTAAAACGAATTGAATATAATTGCTTCGTGAATACTGTGACTCTAACTGCTGATGAAGCCGAATTTCAGTCTTCCTGAACGATGAAAACCTCGTCAACGTCGCATAGCCAAAATTAACTACTTCCTGTTTCGATGGTCGAAAGGATCGGTGCTTTTTCTATAATATGTCCAGCAAACGCTTGGCGTTTTCTCTAGCTTTCTTTTTGTAAAATTCATTCGCTGTTGTTATCAACAATTTTACAACTCATCAAGCCGACCGATTGATTTTTCTCTCTCGCTAGACACGAAAATGTTTTCTCGTTAAGTTCACAAATCAAATTACGAATTTCGATTAGAAATTCGATTTGCGCTTGTGAATTCAACTTTTTCGCAAATTAATAATAATTCCGTCAATTGTTTGGCGCTGAAGGGTGTTCTGATCGAGTGAAGTGGAAGAGAGTAAAAAGCGAAGAGAAGCAAATGAGAGGAAAAAAGTACAAGTGATTTGAAAATTTCGATGGAAAAGCACTACACTTCACCTCATACCACAACATTGCGGGTATGACGGGCGCTGTGTGCGAACGAACCGTGTATATTTTCAACAGCATTCCCTTTAGCGAAAAATAAAGCGAAATAGGTGCCACCCATCTCCTTGTCGATGTGTTTTTGATAAAATGCGCCCAACCAAACATACTACACGTACGAAAAATAACGTCGAGGAAAACACATTTTCAGGCGTTCATAGTACATAGCCTCCCCGAGAGAGCAAAGGCAAGTGCAAAAGCATAGCACATACGTGTGTGCGCGTATTGTACGTGTACATAGGGGCAGAGGGAGAGCGAGAGAAAGGGAGAGAGTGTATGTGTGTGTGGAAATGATTCAGTCGGTGGTACAAAAAGACGATCGAATCGAAGCACACACACAAACAACACATACACGCTCTTGGTGTGCCTCGAAAAACGGCCAACGCCGTTTTTTTTACATAAAATAAATGTTCGGCTCTTCGAGAATACATATGCGTGTGTGTGTGCACTTGTATGTGTATGTTGGTGCATGTTAAGCGATAGAAAACGCTCGCGCCCGTTTTTGTATATGCAATGTGTGTGGCTGTTTCATTTGATGTGCCTACACACCCAGCTGCCAGCCACAGCGAACGAACGAACCAACAATAACGTCGACAACGACGGCGACGATGGCAGCAGCAGCAGTAAATGCTATTGTTGGAGTATTCCTTGTGCGCGCGAGCAACCATTTTCACAGATGTAATATATGTGTTTTGGTGATGGTGCATGAATTTGGTATGGCTTCGAATTGGAATGAGAACGGTTTTTGTTCTGTTTCGTTCACTTTAAATCGCGACGCGCTTATATTCCACTCCGGTTACCATCATCAGCATAGGGTTGCAATACACATCTCTTTCTATTGTTGGTTACGTCTCTGTCCATCGTTGTGTGCATTTGGCAAACGCCACCCGGCCACTCATCCCATCGGACCGTGGTGATGATGGTGGTTGTGGTGCTGCTGCTGCCGATGTTGTTGCCATTGCTGTCGCTTTTTCCTGCAGTGTGTGTGCCCCGCGTCGTTACCATTCCGATGAGAATTTATTACATGAAAACTAGCAAAAATTCCCATTAGCAGCCATAAAGAATTTTAATGTCGATAATTTTGCCATCTTTATTATGCTATTTAACAAATTTTTCGCATCTCATTTTCGTGCTTTCGCACAATTCGCACAATTCGCACAGCACAACCGATATATATCGCATTCATGTCGAGCATCGGCTTTGCTATCATCTTGCCATCGTCTATCATTGACTGTCTAAAATGACACCAATAAATTTCAAAGCGATTTTTCTTCTACTTCGTCGTTTTTTTTCTTCTTTTCTGTCATTTATTTCGAGGCCTCTTGTTTCAATTATGCATGAAGTCGCATTACAAAAATGTTAATTCCGCGTTCGAGTCTCTCTCTATCTCTGTCTCATTGATCTCAAGCATCGAAGCATAAAAATCGATACAATCGGTGCTATGAGCTGCGACATGAAAAAAAAAACTGAACTGCAAGCACATGAATTAAAAAAATCATCACACACACACATCGGGCGAATGCGCGCACGCCACAATTTCAAGTGGCCATTCGACTCTTTTATCATATTGCATCATGTCTATCCAGTGTCCTTTGTGCGATTGATATCGAATGAGTGATGAGATGCTTTTTTAATGCAGCCGGCTCAATCACACTCACTGATTCACGGGCATTCGAATGTCTCTTTTTTTCCCTGATTACACTGGCTGCCAGTGTCGGTTGTTGCTATTGCTTTTTTGCCCCCATCGCTATATAAACAACGTAAGCAAACACAGAGACCTGCTAAATAGAAAATCCATTTCCATTAACAACGGGCAACGTGCAAGTTGTGTATGTGCAGACAGTCATAAAATCCCCGTCTGTCTCTATCCATGAATCATAATGAACTGAAATATCATTACACATCGCGCTAAATCACAATGAATAATCGTATACAATTTTACATACCGACGGAGTAGAACTCTTACGCCACCCGTCAATTCAACTCGCAACGAGTCAGCATTTTTTTTCTTCATTTTTTTTCCGAACGGAAATTGTGGTAATGCACAAACGAAAGTTGATTTTGATCAAACCAAAATTAACCTTCATAAAGATCACTTAGGTGATTTGTTCGTTGTTGATGATGTTGCTGCTGCTGTTTTTTTTATCTCTCTTGCTGTTCTGTTACGTGTGAATTCGTTTGAACGGCTGACTGTTCAGGTGACTAATTCTCGAAGTAACGACACACAAAGTAATCAGATTAGATTCGAAGTTAGTGAAATCGAAACGGGGGATTTCAACACTATTTTTTGCTTGACACACAAAGTTCGTTTTCCAAATGAACTAATGACGTTTTTGTTGATTGATTTTGATGTTGTTGTTGGGTTTTTTTTCTCTTCTCTCCGTTGCAAATTGCGAAAACAATCTTCTAAACCGCTTTATCAAAGCAGCTAAGCGTACATCCCACGTGTAGTTTTGACAGTTTCGAAAGCTATATTTGGTATGTGTGTGTGTGTGTGTGTGTCTAAACGCACCACCAACTTTGTCCATAAATCTTGAGTTTTTGTGTGCCAGGCACTCCGTGAAATTTAATATCAAAACGGTCTTTCGTTTTCGCTCGCTGAAAATGCGAACCACGACACAGAGCGATGGAAATATGTAAAGCCAAAAACATTTTGCCATTTCGGATTAATGATGAAGTTAACAAACTGTTGTAATCAATTTTCATATGAGTTATTCTCGCCCCAGCCAAACGCCATTTTTCGGAAGTTCCATTCGTAAATCATGTGATCAAATCATTTTTTGAAGTAATTAAAAGTTTTATATTCTGATTTAATGTTTCGTTGTGGTGCAACGGGAAAAGTGCACACACGGACAGAAAATGTCGGTGGAATGAACCGCATACAACCCGCCACATCGTGCACAACAAACCGTTGTGCACACCAGAAAAGTTAAGTTCGTGCAACAAACTCTCACCAAACGAGTTACTTGAGTTTGGTAATTTCGATTAAAATTGCCAATGTTCGCAGTTTTGTGCTTTGCCTCGACAACCTTTCACATTCAGACACACAAACACACACACGCTCTCTGCGAATGCAACATAATTAAGGCCAGTTTTTCCTGCTCTTCTTTTTCTTTGCAAAATGCGAATGAACTCAACTTTGCATGGTGTTTTTTTTCGGTTGGTGTTCGTTATGTTCTCGACATTACTGATGAATAAGACTCCGCAGTCCACGAAGTGAGTGTTAGAATGTTACCAAGCGCCACAAAGTGACCAAACCGGACGAATAATTACACGATAAATTTTCAAAACATCCGTACGAATGTTTTTGATGGCTTTAATTTGTGGAACGTCCAATTATCATGCGACCACATTTCCTCACACTTTCTTTTAATTTGCGTTGTTGCGAAAAGAAGAAAAAACACGTTTTTTCACCACTAAACTTGTCTCTGTCTCTGTTTCTTTTATTTGTGATTCCATTTTTCTAACCATTTTTTATTTCTCTATTTCGTTTTTTGCAGACAATGTTGGACAAAGAAAAGAAGCGATTCCACGAGATGGCCGAAAAAGATAAGGCTCGTTACGATTCAGAAATGCAAAATTATGTGCCACCAAAAGGAGTTGTTTTGGGTCGCGGTAAAAAGCGAAAGCAGATCAAAGATCCAAATGCTCCAAAACGATCGCTGTAAGTATTTTCGAATGCATCTTCGTTGATGTCAATCGATGTTGATTTGCTGTACTGGACGGTTTGTAAATTAAACATTGCTATAATGTTCATTTTCATGATTCGATTAGGTCCGCTTTCTTCTGGTTCTGTAACGATGAGCGCTCAAAGGTTAAGGCCGTGAATCCCGAATATGGTGTCGGTGACATTGCCAAAGAATTGGGAAAGAAATGGTCCGATGTTGAACCGACCGTTAAATCCAAATACGAGGCTATGGCTGAAAACGACAAGAAGCGATATGAGCGAGTAAGTATTGATTCACATTTATTTTGGTTTGTTTTTGATTCCCATTTCAATATCAACAAATATAAATGGCGGCACGTTACTAAACCGTACAAATATTTCCGTCGGTATTTCGGATCGATACTCAAGAAAACATTGGACTGGAAAGAAAACAAATAAAAACACACTCTTGAATTTCTGCAGTCAGAACCGACGATTTTTTTCCTCCTCTCTTAAAAACTTGGTAAACCTAATTTCAAAGCGACGACGACGACGACGAGCTGAGAAACACAACAACCAGCGGAATCGAATAAGAGAGACAGAAAAAAAAATTCACGAGAAAATATCCCCAATAAAAATTGGAACGGATAAAGAAAATGTCGACCGAGAAAATAAAACTAATATATTTTCATTCGATGCTTGTCGCTCGGCCGTAATTTCTGCCAGCAAATAACGTAAAATAAATTACATTTATTCGTTTAATTTTGACTACGAAAAGAGAGAAGAGAGAGAGAGAGAGAGAGGAAGAGGGAGGGAGAGAACGAGAAGAGCGGCACATAAATTTATTTTTCCCCCTCAAGAAATGATCAATATCAGTTAGAGCGCGCTTATGTACAGGCAGGCTTTTAGGCAGGCAGGCAGGCGGGCGAAGAGTGTACGGCAGAGGAACATACACACACAGCACGTACCGCCGTCATTCGCCTCTGTACACAAATGCTCCATTCCATTCCATTCCATTCGAGCGCATTATGTACGACAGCAACGGCACACACCGAGTTTTTGTCATGGTAGAATGAATCGGCATTATTACCATGCACAGGGTGAGACTGGCATAAATATTTTCTTTTTCCTTCATTCCACTTCTATTCTCTTCGTAATTTTTCTCTGGCAAAGCAAGAACGGCGAGCTAGTTTTTCTGTTCACCGGTTTGGCCCGATTTGGGGAAATTCAAAGCGTCGAAATTTTTGACTTGAACCGGTCATATCTTAATAATTTTGTTTTTGCAATACTTCACGTTAGAAAAACAAATGCCCGATATTTTGTGTGCGACGTGAGCGCGAGCGTGCGCTTGGTCCGCAAAGGAACTGCAGAGAAAATAACTCTTGAATGATAAATGTAGCACCCTTTAAACGCGTAAATTATGTGTTCTTGTCGGATACACATTTCGACGCCATAGTTTTCTGGTTGAACGTTCACATGGGCAAAAAAGAAAATCGAAGAAATTACATTCCATGTAGAGAAAGAGAGAGAGTGTGTGTGTGTGTGTGTGGAATGAATCTACATAATCCCGAATAAAATATCAGCCGTTGTGCAGTGTTCATGCCATTAGCGTTGGGCTCATTCGTTCTTTCGTTCTGTATGGCTCGGTCTGTATGAGTGTTTTGAGGCTCGATGGTGAGCACGGATATCCTCGCTCAAATGCAACATCCCATTCGATTGCATTTCATTGCATTGATTTGCGTTTGCAACAATTTAAAAGCAATTAGAGACGAGCGACTTATTATTTGCCGACTTATTCTTAAACGAGATAGGCTCAGGCACGGCTGAGTTCAATTCTATCGGTCGAGGCATTTGTGCTTGATTTACCTCAATTTTGAACATTAAAACACCCCTCAACAAACACAGAAAGAAAGAAAAAAACCATAATTTTAACGCTCTGCGTGTCTATCATCATAAATGCATATCATTAATTTCAATTTCGTTTGTGCCATTATTTATATTTGAGTCAACACCTGTCGCCGTGCGCTCTCTCCGTCACAAATACAAAAGTCCACCCAATTTTGGAATTTTCAATCCGTATCGTTTAAGATATTTATGTGTGTAGAGCATATCCAAAGCGATTTAATGAATAGTTTTAAATATTTTAATCCTCGGTGAAATGACGGTGAACTTTTATTTTTCAAGTGAGTTGAGGGAGAGACAAGGAGAATCAGGAAATGGAACATACACAGCACATCGAACCCAATACCAAACAGAAGATTAATGATGGTCTTTCAATTTTTTTTTTCTAAATAATTTCAGGAAATGCAAGAGTACAAGGCAAGATGTAAGGGACTCGCACCGGGTCAAACCATCAGCATTCAGCAAGCAGTGCCGAATCAGCTAAAGGAAGAAGATGAAGATGAGGAAGACGATTAGAGAAATCATTGAAAACACACAGCTACAAAAAAAAACTTTATGAATACGACTTAGATTTAAACTCTATCTCTCTCACATACAACAAACAAAAAAGAAACACACACACACAACAAACACATACTACGCATTACAAGAACAAAATAAAAAGAAAACAAAGCTCGAATGAAACAGAACGAAAATCAGCAACATTTTTGATGAATCGTAACAACAACATTTGAAGCAGTAATAAAACAACATAAAACTGAAGACGTGAAATAAAACAACACAATCCGAATACACATCGTTTAAGACATTAAACAACATCCGCAGAGAAAAAAAAACTACAACAACAGCATAATAAAGTTTAACTAAGGAAAAAAAATGAAGGAAAAACAAAAAAGTTTGAAATGAATAAACTACAAAAAAAAAAACAACAAAAAAATGTCATAAAAAAACAAAAACACAAAAAGTTCTATGAAAAAATATTATTATGTTAGTGTAAAAATTTAATGATTATACTTCAGACAGAGAGAAATCTTTTTTTTTTAAAGTTTGTGTTTTTAACGATAAGCGGCGACGAATTCACACTGAATCAAAAGAAAATGAAATGAGAAAAAAATGAATGAGATTTGCTTTTTGGAGAAAGTAAACGTTTGAACAAAAATATTTTACTGTACAAAAGTAAGAAAAAAGACTAAAAAAAAAAACAATAATAACGATCCTAATTGTTGTCGAATCGAAGAATTCCGATTTTTTTTTTGCTTTTTTGGCAGCTGTAACAACAGACAAACATTTTTGACGCGCCAATTCATTGCAACCGGCATTTCTTTTATTTTTCTCACCCCACTCACTAGCTCTCAATCGTTTAATTACACGAAATTTTTGCAAAATACCCTCCAAATGGTTGCAATTGCGCTTGCAAAGCAGTGAATTCGTTAATCGTTGAAAACAAAAAACAAAAAAAAATTTTGTTTCTTTTTAATGGCCGCGCCTTTGATAAGATCACTTTCATCATTTCTTACCTCCGACATAAATACACGCGCGTATTTTCGTTCGTAGATCCTAATTTAAAAACAAACACACACACACACAAACAAAAAATTTTAAGTAATAATTATTTGATTGAGGATATTTTCTTTTTTCTTGTAGAAATAAATACAACAGAAGAAGAAAATAAAAATCAACAAACAAGTTTAAGGTGTATAATTTAAAAAAAAGTATGATATACATGAGACGAAATCAGAAATAAAAGAAATTTAAGAAAAGATAAAAGAAGTGAAAAAAAAATCAACAACAGTTAAGAACAAAAACAATGGATTGAAAATAAGGAACGATGAAGTGAGCAAACTCTAAAGTATAATTGTTAAATCATTTAACTTTAAATAAACAGAAATGAAAAAATAAATGGATAAGAGAATTGAAAATGAAATCACACAACACACACACACACCACGAATAAGTAACAAACTAAAAATAGAAAGTGAAAATAATGAATGAAAAAAGCAAAACAAATAGAAGAATGGAGTTTCTTGTAATAATGTAAGAGATGTATAATATAGGGAAAGCCACATAAAACAAACAATATTCATACTACAACAACAACAAAAAAAAACATGGTGTGAGCTACGAAATCAAATTGGAAGCAAACATTTGCTAAAAAAAAAAGAAAAACAAAACTAATTTGCTACGATCTGTAGTCATTTTCAAATTCTGCATCCTGCGCACACATCCCTGCTGTATTTGAGCCGTACAACCATGGTTGTATTCCTTTTGTTAGCTCTAATGCACCAGGCAACGCGATGCACTGGTGACCAAATTCTTATGCCACCATTATATATGCACACACACATACACTTACACACCTATTCTGTGTGTAGCCCGTTTTTTTTTCTCGGTGCGCACTTCAAGAGTCTCGTCACCACTGCGATTCCGTAGCTCACACTATCTCATCTAATGGAAATATTATAACATTTCTTAACCGTCTTAATTTCGGAAATTAACATCTTTTTTTTGGTTTTTTTTAAGGAACACACATAATTATAACATAATGAAAGAAAAAAACAACAACACACATTAGAAACCACGACAAATTTTGATTACAAACAAAAATATCTACAAAAAAAAATCTTACAATATAATATGATAAACACATTACAAATAATTGATTACAACAACAACAAACAAACAACAAAATTATGTATTATTTCATAAGAATGTTTAAGTAAAAAGACTTCATATTAATAAAGATAAACTGGATGAGAATTAAAAAAAAAACAACAACAATGCAAACCGCACACTTGAATTATTGAGCGTATAGCAATTTGAAATCATTCTCTTCTTTTCTCTTTTTTGTAGTAGATATGTAAATAGATTGAAAAGGTAACACTTGAATGAGCATGAATATAAGAGCAACATTCTACCTGCGACACACTGCATCTTTACTCATTACGACTAATTTGATACAAGTTTTTTTTTAATGAACGAAATACCATTCTCATTCATACAAATCAATTAAGACAAAACTACAACAACAACAACAACAAAAACCACAAGAAGATTCGTAAACTCCTTATTTTTAGTAATCATTTCGTTCTCAAGAAGAAAATAAAATACAAAGAGAATGTCGTGTAATATTTAGTTCCCATTTTTTTTTTCAAATGCTTTTTTCATTAAATAAAACTTTTTTTCGAAAACAATCATTATTTCGTTTACTTTTTCCATTTTTTGGTTTTACTTAACTCTCTCCCCTACAATGTGTATCATTTCCATTAAAAATTCATAGCTCTGGTGGTTTGATCGGTCAATTACATGCGGCTTCAACCAATGGGTCGATTGAGGTAAGCTAGAAATAGTCAGCTGATGACGATGACGATTGATTGGAAACCATTCGGCATGGAATGTATTTAATGATTCGACGCAACAATGAACAATTGAACAGCTATCAATTATCCGGGACTTAGTTAAAAATGCCTCAATACCTTATACTCACGCATTTGCGGCTTCATTCGGTGTGGAATTCATACGCACACCACCATATTCATAAATAATAATGAAATAAATACATCGGATTTTGTGGATTCAAAAGTCAGGGGATATTGTTTGTTTTTATTAAGGTAAAATTGAAATTGATAAAAGGCTACAAATCCTAGTCTAATCTAGTCTCATTCAAAAAGAAAAATGGTTCAAAATTTTAATTTGGAAAAGATGCGGAGTATGTGTTCTTGTTTGTTTTTTTTCCCCTTTGTATTGTCCGAATAATTAACACACGGTTCACACAAAATGTTGTCTTAACATTTCTATTTTGGTTTGATATAGTTTGATGAACAAGCATTTCCTACGTCAAAGCCAATGATGAAAGCTTGTGGGATGTTGTCGAATAGGATTCGAACAGAGAGATAGAGATACAATAAATTCATGCAATATGTCTAAAATCTCATGTACCAACAATTGGTACGCACATATGGTTCATTTTTAATTGAATCTACGGATGAATTCAATTTCTCGAAGTTTAATATATAGTAAAGGACTATATGAGAAGGTGAAATATTTTGGGTCAAAAGAGATATAATATGAGCTAATTGAGCCGGTGTTCGGTCGCATCAGTTGTCCAGCGCTTTAGTTGTCTTCTTTGATGAACTCGGTGCCAAACATTTCATTGCATGCATCGATGGCTGCATTCTTGCGAGCCAATTTCTTGTTCTTTGCCGTTCCAATGAAGTGTTCGGCATCAACTTCAACACCAACACGGTGCAAAATGTTCGGAACTTGACCCTCACTGCCCAAATCAACGTATTTTGTGGCTGGACGCATCTGGAATTGTGTACATTTTTTATGATTAGCACTTTTTGTGGTTGAAATAAAACAAGGCTCTGACTAGACGAGAACGTTCTCTGACTTACCATGCATAACAGAGTTGTTGGATGCATTGTATTCGCATTTTCTGGGAGCTGTGTCCGTTTTGGTGGAATGCCCGGTGCACGATCCGTTTTATCCACTGCCGTAGCGGGCTCAACGGGTGAAGTGACACCGCCAATTTTGAAATCAGGGATTTCAAAGCCTTCCGACTGCCATTCGGAGAACAACTTGTGCAGTGCAAATGAGGCCAAGTGTAACATTGGAACCTCGCTTTCGTCATTATCATTTTCGGCGTCGCCCATTTCAACATCATCACGGAATGCATCATCTACGTTTGGTGGAACTATATTTCATTTTATTAGTCATGCTATTCTATGAACTTTAAATTCATGCTCAAGTATACTAACTTTGTTCGGTGCCCGGTTGAGCAGGATCGCCGCTTGGTTTCAGCTGTTGAGACTTTGGTGATTGCAGCATTCGATTAATGATTATGTCACGCAATGCTTTCTCAGAAGCCGAATTTTTGGCTGCCATCTTTGAAGGGCCTGAAAAACGAAACGAAGCCAACATTTTCAATTTTGAGACATCGTTGTAGGAAGTTTGTGTTATTAATTTGTCAGGAAGAAAGACATAATTTGTTAGATAAATAATGGATTTAAAACAGAATACTGAGATGAAAAAGCTAGGATATTCGAATAAATCACCTCTTCCTTCGTATTGCACGGCATTCACGTAAACCGAAGCCACAAATCCACGTTCTTCGGGCAAAATAGAGAACTCGGACAGTCCATTTCCAAGCAATTCATGCAATGACATCAACGCATTTTTTGGTGTAAGAATTTTGCGAAGACGCCGATTGCGACGCAACCGTTTGATCTTCTTGGGTATTGGTTGGCGCATAAAACGGCGCTTCTGGCCATTGGTTGATCCATTCTCAGATGGATCAGTGATGTTGGCGTTATCAAGCTCATCTTTGATGTCCATATTTTTCAGTGCTTCGGGTACAACTGAATTGGCTTGTTGTTGATTATTCAACGGAAAATTATTATTCTATTTGACGTGGAAAAAAAACAGAAAGAAACAACGGTTAAAAAATAAATCGAAGAAAAGAAATATAACACTCGAATAAAAATGCATTGCAATTTCAATGTCGTCTATTAAGTTAAAGTCTTTGTTCTTTTCAAGCTGGTTGGCATTGCGCATATACTTATTTAACATGGTACATCGATTTTTTTTCAACGTCGGTTTTGTTGCAAAATGCAACTATATTATTTACTTGACCATCAAATGTCTCTGAATCATACCTTTGCGGTGTGCGTTTGTATCGAGAGCCGCCCGGATCGACCGTCTGCCACAAGGGATTTATGTGCTTACACGCGGATCAGAAGCATGCTTCATGATGAAATGCAACGCCCGTCGACAGTCGATTTTCATTTTCTTTTCTTTTTTCTCAATTTTTTGTCATTTTTTTTTTCTCGACTCGACTTAACAAATATAATTTCTACCGAAACATCATTATTAACCTCTGTTCAATTTCAGGAAAAGCGCACATTGTGCAATGCCAATTCAACCTGCTTTTTAGTTACCATCGTATCCATCGATTGACCATCCAATGTCATTTTCATTCGTTCAATTTTATTCAAATTCGTAGCCCGATCTGTTTTTGCGATAAATCGACGATTAAACAAGGTCGAAAAAAAACCAAGCACCAAACAAAACACGAATGAATGCAATGTGAAAAATGTTTTACATTTTTTTGGCACAAGTTCTGGGTGGATTGTTTAATCGATCGATTTACGGCGATAAAAACATGGCGCGCATATATGCACTGCAGCTACCGAGCTGGGAATAAAACTCAAAAGACAAAAATGGCGTTCAATGCTCAGAATTGCTAACGGCTCACGATAACTATAAAATCAAGTGAGTTTCTCATTCTCATTCCAGCAATCATTTCAAAAACGCAAACACAGGCAAATAATTTCTTGGACTACGGAAATTATATCGTTAATAGAAACAAAAGATAAGAGAGGGGAAACACATGAAATGCTAATGGCTTGCTGACCACATTCTTTTTTTTCTCTGCATATTTTTTTTTTTTCAATTTCTCAAATCAACACCATCTTCTTCTTGCCATTTCTTATCTCTCAGGTGCACTTTTTTGTTTTGTTGGTGCAGAAGAATGTTTCCGCTACAGAAAAAATACACCAAATTTACTTTAATATAAGCAAACAAATATATATGAAGGAAAGAAAAAAAAATATTAACAATCACACTAAGTCACAAATTTAGATATATCATAAAATCAAAGCTTACAAACTATGAATCTAAAAATAATTTTCTTCACGTGAAATGATCGTCATTACCGAACAAGGTATGTAATATTGAAATTTTAATGAGTTTTTGAGAATATCATTAGGAAAAAATTGGAATTTCTATTGTTGGCAATTTTAGAGAAGAGTTTTGAATTCAGTGAAAATTTCCATTCGAAAGTGGATTTTAATGGCGGTGTATTAAACGAGAAATATAACACTTACGGGAGTGGGTGCTCGAACCGAAGCTGCTGCTTGTTCATTTACATTTGGAGCGGACGCAGTAAAATTCGAAATTACACCACCAGATATAAATGGTTTATTGTTGGCCGGATTATTTCTCGTTGGACGTCGATTCATTTCGTCGATTGTGGTGATCGTTCAATATTCGTGTATAATATATAGAGTAATGGAGGTTTCTCTCAATCAATAAATTTGAATGCACCTTTAACTACAGCGTTGCAAAGCTCACTGACTGTAAAATCAATAATCGTCGACTTTCACCTCACTAGCGTAGTCGTACGTCAGAACGTCCATTTGACAATTCGTGTGAAAAACTCATTCGTAAAACGCATACCGGCTTGGCTTGACTAAATTCATTCAACTGACATTCGATGAACGCACTCGTACGTAGTGAAGTTAACACTTAGCACACAACATTTTTAGTCGAAAGAAATTGAAACACGTAAGAAATATGAAGAATATTTATTTATTTGGATCTTTTTGTGTCAACATTTTTTAATCAGTATTTTTTTCCCCTTAATTTTCTCTAGCTGATGAAATGAATAGACAAGTAAAACGAGAGCTAATTATAAAAAACGCGTTGGAAGTACTGCAAAATGTGTTGCCAACCAATATCATGGAAAATTTCGAGCGATTGGATGAAGAAGATGAAAATTCGGGTGAAACGCCAGATGATTTGGATGAAGATCGATTTTTCTATGAGTATTTAACTGCACAACAGACACCAAAGATCATCCCGAAAACCAAACCAGTGGATAATAATGATTCGTTGACTTACTTCGAAATCGTGGAACAAGAAATGATGTTATCACTGCCAATCACAAAGTATAACATTGAGGTAAAGTCGCTTCTTCTACTGAGTTTGGCAAATTTTGTATCGTTAATAAAAGCAGTTGAAAAACGTCCGGAACACTTTTCTGAAGCGCCAATTTGTTGACTAATAATTACAAACCTTTTCCTATAATTTCAGCTCCTCAAGTTGATTTTAGAAGACTTTGGTGAGATCACGGCATCGTTCATTGCCAGCCTAAATCTGCAGACGATAAATCAACTCACAAATATCTTGTTGTATGCATTGATGACAGGAGAAAGTTCTGAAAAGACTGAAGAAACTCTCTGCCTCGAAACGGGAACAGTGAATAAAGTGCTTGGTGCAATCTGTGAGATTATTGCTGATAAGAAAGATGCATTTATCCATTGGCCAAATGCAAAGGAAATCAGGCAAAATGTACGGCATTTCGAGCGATACGATGAATATGGTCAATATGAATTTTATAACGTATTCGGTGCAATTGGCACGATGGAATTTCAAGCTAAACCACCATTGCCCAATTATCTATCTGTTCCGACGACCCATGGAAATTCTACGTATACACCGATCAAGTGGCAGTGTTCGTGTGATGTCAGTGGTTTTCTTCAGTCAAGTTCGGTGACGGTGCCCAAAAAAGAGAATGAAACCAAAAATAGTTATGTATTCGAAATGAACCCAGTCAAATCAAAATTGGAAGCAATGAAAGAGGAAGAAGTTTATTTGGTTGCAGATGAAACATTGACATTGATTCCATTCTTATTGACACCACACGAGAAGCTGCTGCTTTACGCTGAACAGCACAACAGAGCACTGGAGTCTAAAAGGAAGGTTATTGATAAGACTTTTGACAAAATTCTTAGTCGATTTTCGATTCTCCGTCGAATCGAACTTCGAGACGCACACAGTATTCGTAATTTAATTGAAACAGTGGGTATTTTACACAACTTCTTCTTAATTCAGGGCGATCAACTGTATAATTTAGACTGAAATTTTGAAATTTAAAATTTTGAATTAACTTTTGAAATTTGAGTTAAGAAAAACGTTCCATTTTTTTTTTGTTAGCATTTAAGTCATACTTTGTTCTATATTTTCATTTAAAACAACAACTAACAGTCAATAAATACGTTTACAACGTGTAAAAATATCACAATGTTTGACTGGTTATTTCTTTTGTAGCGACGGTGACAAATTACGTTCTAGCACATTCTCTTTGAGCCGAAGTTTTTCCACCTTGGTCGGGTCATGCGTTATCTCTTCCGTGGCCAATCGTTCGGATCGACTGTCTTGAATTGATCCTGGAGATAAAAACGAATAAAAATTAACTACTTGTTGGAACTAAATTTTAGCTGATTCAATTTACCATTGTACGGCGTATATTTGTCCGAAAGTATACCCTCCAGTTTATAACCAATAAAACCTGTGCCGAAAATCAAAAACTGTTACATTGAATCAGATAATTCAATGGAAATTAATACGAACCAATAACTGCGGCAAATGGAAGAGTGATAAATGGTGCGTTCCGACGCAAGGCTGCCATGAAAATCGGCCACATTTTGCTACTTTTTTTTTGCTTCAAATTACGCCAGAACAAAATCTACCAAACAATGCAGCGAGTAAATACTCGACACTTTCGTTGACATTTCATGCGTTTTGACATTTGTTTGGGAACGCACCCCGAAAAGTCTACGCTTTACGTATATGTGTGTTTGTTGACTATTCCTTCTGATAATACTGAACACATCGCTTTTTTATCCAAAACTGTCTATGCTGACACAAATATCGGTGGGATTGGTTTTGTTGATATTTTTTGCTGGAAAAATGTCTTCATTCAGTTTGAAGGTTCGCAGTACTATTTTTATTAATTTCTATTGGGAATTTCCGTAATAAAAAAAACACACACAAATATTTGAATTCTTTGTTTACAACAGTGAATCATGTTTTTATGTTCGGCTTTGTTTTAGGAGCGATTGTCCGAAGAGCTCACTTCGAATGGAACTCACCGCAAATTGGTGGCATTCGACTTTGATCATACGGTTGTTGACGATAACACCGATATCGTAGTACGAGATTTGGTGAAGAGCAAAATTACGGATGAAGTGACAAAGTTGTACAAAAAATCCGGTTGGATTCCGTACATGCAAGAGATTTTCTATCTTTTGCATAACGATGGGTTTACAAAATCACAAATGAAAGACTCAATTGAAGGTATTGCCGAAGTGGCTGGCCTAAAGACGCTATTCAAGGAGCTGAATGAAACGGGACATGTGGACATTATCATAATCAGTGATTCGAATTCAGTGTTCATAAAATTCTGGTGTGATCACAACGATGTTAGCAAGTACATCAAACACATTTACACCAATCAAGCGTACTTTAACGAAGAGGGTGTATTGAAAATCCAACCGTATCACTATCAGTTGGACTGTCAACTCAGTTCAGAGAATTTGTGCAAAGGCAAAGTACTGGAGGACTTTGTGCGAAATCAACAAGAAGGAAACCATGTGATTTACGATCAAATTTTCTACGTTGGTGATGGAAACAATGATATTTGCCCAGTGCTTCGACTTGGAACGCAAGATTTTGGCTGTGCTCGCAAAGGTTATTACATGCAAAAAGAATTGGACAAGAAAAACACAACTCTAGATGCCAAATTTGAGATATGGACCGACGGTCGTGATCTCAAACAGCTGATTTTCCAAAATATTTAATCACATAACTTTATAATGTATGATCTGAATAAAACTTCATCCGCTGTGAAATTTCATCGCAATCAAAGTGTTCCATAGGAAAAAAAACAAATTTTCTAATAAAACTAACCAAAATTCTTCAATTGAAAATAATGAATGTAAATTGTCACTGAATCAATGTTATTAACCAATTCAAAAATAAACAACATTTATTCAATCACAATGATTCTTCTGATTAACATGACATTTGTCGAGATGTCGCTCTTAACGCAATGTTCAACTGACATTGCGCCAAAAGTTCTGTCGTGTTTTCATTGTTCATTGTTGTTATTCGATTCAAAACACACCTCTTTGTTTATTTCTGGCTTAAGAGCACATTTTTGACCAGATATAATAAGTTGCAAGCGATTTGTTGGCTGGAAAATGGAACCCTGTGAATTGGAATTTATTGGCGAGAACGAGACAATTGGTATTATACCGAATTTCACACAAGACAATGCCATCCACTTGATATCGGGATCGATTGGTCCGTTTCGTGCTGGTATGCCGGTTCATGGTTAGTGTTTACATTTTTTTTTTATTTCGCAAATGAACTTTGTCGAGAACTGATCACTTTTTTGGGCCTCCTTTTCATTTGAATTAACCATTTTGCATCAAATATGATGAAATTTGCGTCGTTTATCGAATAATAGCGTGTGCAATTCTGAAATTATTTGTTCAACAGTACCATTGTGGTTGGCAATCCACTTGCGAAAACAGCAAAAGTGCCGTCTCGTGCCGCCGGTTTGGATGGATAAGGACATCTTGGAGGAGATCAAAGAAGCTGAAAAGCGAATGAAGTAAGATACTCACCAGATTTGCCACTTACTTTTTTTCCATTTTGAACACTTTTACCGAAGTGTTGGCCTACCTTTTTTCACAATTCACCAAGGTTTTAATTCCATATTTGAATTTGTGTCTTGCAGAATATTCACAAAAATGCCCAGTGAACACTACATGATTGAGGCGCAGTTGATTCTGAAGTGTGCAGCCGAGGATGTGGCCCATTCGGAGGAGATTCGAACGGCAATCAAAGACATCATTGATATTCGAGCGGCCAAATTACGAACTTCAATGGATGACTTCATGAAAGGCGATGGAACATACGCGAAATTGGACAATTTGACGGTGTTTGAGATACATTCAGTGCGGCCACTGCTACCATATTCATTGGATCTAATCGATCGTCTCAGTCATAAGGTCGATGAACGCAATAGCCATCAATCGTCTCACTTCAATTCCACGGTCAATTTCTCATTCAATTCTCACTCGAATGTTCAATAAAGAGTCATTTCTATTTATTAGATACTTTGTATAATTTTAAGAGCCCAAAAACAAATATAACTAGATTCATTCGTGAATTTGACAGTTTTTTTCATTTCAATACATTGTGATGTTCCTTTTCATTTAATTTTCTCTGAATACAATGCTCGCAAAATGATCATTCTACCTCTACGAATCACAGTGATTAACTTTTATTCTGTTTCAATCGAATCAATATCAATAAATATTACAATATTATACAATTTTCTTCTGTCCTTATGTTAAAATCACATTGTTATCACTTCAGACAATTGATCTCTAGATCGAATTTCTTTAGTTTCATTTGAATCATTAGTTTTTGATAGTTTGATGATAAAATCCATCGTGAATTGCATTTAAACGAAGTCGTTTCGAATGTGGGTCGCCTGATGAATGCATCTATGGAATGAAATGGAGACAAATTCGTTTTGTAGATCTCAATTTACCCTGTTTGGAAAATTGGTGCGTATTGAAAAGATTACTCACTTTGAATGTAAACTTTGAACTCGTTTCGATGGGATTTCGATGACCAGTTGTTAGTATACCGGAGATGATCCTTTGACCGGTGATATTGAACACAGTGCCTCTAGGCGCTCAAATTCGGCTGTTGTCTCTAGCAATTCATACGAAAATGAGTAATTATGCGCTGGTTTCTTGATCGGAGTTGAACAATCAACCGGTTGTTTGATGGATTTCCGGACATTTGGATCAGCCGGCGAGTCGTTGAGATTATTTCCAATTGCATTCCAAACATTGGTGATCATATCTTGCACAGTAGCCATATCTTCTTCCACTGATGTCGTTAACTTTAACGTTGAGCTTGTATCCGAAGCTGCTGCAGCTGAATATCCGTCGCTTTCGATGCCGGCAAATGCCTGTGCATTCTCCCAGAAGTCGAATTGAGTTTTGCGCTGTGCTGCTGGTGTGTTTAAATGTTGCAAATTCTCTGGGATGAAAATGTTCTCCTTGTCTTCGTCGGCGAATAGCAGTGCTTTTGGTTTGACATTTTTGACTCGGTTCATAGCTCTGGCTATTTCCATTTGCTGTTTGAAAATGTCATCACCAAGACCTTTTGGACGATTTGGAACTGGTTTGTTTCTTGTAGACGTTTTACCAAATCGCATCTTTTGAATGGCACCGCTGGCCGGTTTTGTCTTTGGCTGATCGCTAAAAACTTTGCCTCTGGTCGTGTTCCCTCCTTTTGCACACGATTCACGTTTTATGCGTATGATTTCTTCCAGCGAATACTCTTCCATGGAATTTTTCGGGTACAATTCACCCATGTTGCACATGAACGTATGCGGACCTTTCTCGTTTAATTCTTCTGATGGCTGGACGCGAGGCACAATCCACTCAGACTGTGTCAGATTCTTGCGTGGAAACACATCGGCCCAACGCATCGGCACATCGTATCCTATGCCCCAGATTTTATCTTGCTTTTTGGTGAATGCATTCTCGATGCGTCGATGCTTGAACCATTGGTAGGCTCTCAGTTCTTCGGCCGAAAATGCCACATTATCGGCTGGAGTCATCATGATTTTATCGTAGCCGGGCACCATCTGCTGCCAAATGTCGTTGAAGCTTGCTTTCGGTGGATCGAAGTACGGCAGCCCAGGTGACTGTGTTTGCGGCAAATTCTTCGACTTAAAATCATGACCCAGTCGAATACTCGTCGCACGCCTATCTCTGCACGGTTGACATGTATACGAGCTACCAAAATCAGCGTCACACATGCAGACCGGGATTCGATTATTTCTTATTATGCGCATTCGTAGAGTTTCCACACTGTCGGTAATATTCCGTGAAGCGAGAGTGTTGCACTTTTCTGGCGTTGAATGATTTGGCGATACCGTATTCGGGATGCAAACGTTCATCAGAGTTGATTTGTCGAACTGATTCAACGCTGATGACTTTGATTGATTGAGGCTTGCTCCAAATATTCGAAGTGTTGCTATTCGCTCCAAACGGTTGTGTGTGTCTCTTTGATATTCTTCGCTTGTTCCATGGAGTGCTCGTTGTTTCATTGATCGCATGAATTCTTCATGGGCTGATTTCAACAAATCCATTGGTTGAGCCTCAGCTTTCAAACCACGCTTGAAAATTTCATTTGCTTTCTCAAAGTCACGGTTGTCATCGAAGTAAAATGCCCAGTTGATGTACAAATCCGCTACTTTTACGCCGATGCCCTTCGATATCATTGCTTCGTAATGGGTATTTGGTTCCTCTTGGAAGTGGATCTGTGTTGGAAATGGGACAGAAATCAACAGAAATCGGTCAACGAATTTATGAATAAGATGATGTTCGGTGATTCTGCTTATGAAGATAACGTCAATTAAACATTGCCATATCAATCATCAGCCGGGCTGTTAACTCAGTTCAAAGAATTTGTGCAAAGGCAAAGTGCTGGTGGACTTTGTACGAAATCAACAAGCGTTGTGTGGTTTTCATGTGATTCTTGATCAAATTTTTTACATTGACGATGGAAACAATAACATTTGCCCGGTGTCTGGACTCGAACGGCAAGATTATGCTTACAAAACCTAGCGCATGCAGAATAAATTGGACAAGAAAAACATAACTCTAGACGCCAAACTCGAGATATGGACCGATGGTTGTGATTTAAAACAGCTGATTTTCCGAAATATTTGTTTACATGAATTTAGATCTGAGCCACCCTGTTCTGAAATGTTTGCTATTCTGTGTATTAAATAAACACCGTCCGAATGGTTTTCAACTGTCAAACAAAAATTTACTTACATATTTGATGAAAAGTTTAACCAATCGTCGATCTTGCGTGTATCGTTCTTCATGCTCGAATTGAACCAAACACGCGGCCAGGATTTGATTGAATATCGTCTCGTTTTCGAAATCGGTGATGAAATTTTCATCTATCCACAGCAAATACTCGTACCAATTGATCAATCGGTCGTTTCCCGTATAATTTTCGATCGATTTCACAAAGTTTTTACACTCTGACACGAATTTACCGAAATCATCGTATTTATGTTGTACCGATTGAGCCATTTTCAGTTCAAGATATGCAGAAAAAAACCAATAAAAATATTTAAAACAAACAACAGAAACAAAAACAAAAACCGTGTTCCAATTGCATAGCGCAATTTTGACGTGCAGCAGCAGAGCAACACAAACTTCAAATGTGTGTCGCTTTTCACTGGCTACGCGACTAAAAATGAGTCCGTTTATACAAACGTGCGGTTTCATCGTTTTCTTACGCGAGACGTACACATGCAAATTGACACTGGCACCACTTGTTACCTGATTGAATTTTCAACCGAAAATAAATGCAAATCGGGTTGGTTCTTGAATTTGAAATTTCACTTTATTGTAAATGCATTCTGATGCGTTGATTAAATGACAAATTTTTAATCGTATACTACATATGGTGTGATGCGTTGTTGTATTAAATATGATGTGATTGATGTGCATTTCTATTTAAGAAAAATCGCCTAATCTAATGCTTTGTTGAATTTGGCGATTGCTTCAGTCACTTTTTTCTTGCCAATCGCTTGTAATTCGTTATCCAGCAGCTGCTGTAGTTTAGACCATGATGGCATTTTTTTCATGCTACGTATATTGATGAGTGTATCGAAAATTTCGTCCCACAGCGATCCATTGACGTATCGCGGTAACTTTTGTGGTTTGTATGGATCTGTTGGTTTGCAACGTGAAACCACCATGTATTTTCCAGCGACCATCGTATAAATGGTGCTGGCCAAACAAAACAGATCACAATGATAAGTCCATGGTTTGTCTTCCATCATCTGAGTGCAAACAAAGTTTTCAGTTTTGACTTTCGCCCAAAATACGTGGTTTGAGAAATAGCTCAGATCGATCGATTGCCCAAAGTCGATGAGTTGCAGCACAATGTCTGGGTTTTCGTAGTTCAAACTCAATCTAAATGAGATGGAATGAGATAAATCATTAGATAATTTGAATAGGTTTTGAAAATTCGGATAATTCCAATAGAAAACCGAACAATTTTTTCACTCATTCCACTTACTTGTCCATGAGCAAGAAGTTATCCGGCTTTATATCGGCATGAATGAAGTTTGCCCGATGAAAATGTTCCATTATGGTAAACATCTGCTTGACTAGGATCATCACGATGCATTCTTCGATGGGCTTATTTGTTGTCTGCTTCACTTTGTTGCAAACGTTTAAAATGGTGCCGTGTTTTGAGAATTTTGATGCAAAGATCGTTGCATTGTTCCCGATGAATGCTAAGTCCACAGCCATAAATCCATTGCGCTGAAAATGAGACGTTGAAAAGCGATTAGGTAGGCAACAGAAATGGCAAAAAAACCAAAAATAAATGTTATAGAAATCTACTTACGACTCGTTCGTCTTTAAGACGTGCATGAATTTGCAGGCAAACGTAGTATTCCCACAGATTCGGCGGCCTCTGTTGTTTCAATGCGTACATCTCTTTGGTCTTTGAGCATTCGGCTGAGAACACTTTGCCATAAGTGCCGGTACCGATCAGCTTACGAATTTGATACTTTTGTTTGTTTATTTCAATGGATGCTCTTGGCTTCAGCGGTGGCACCACGTTCATCATCACACAATTGAAATTATTGGCACCGCTCAATTGGTCCAGAAACCCGATGTCGGTGAGTACATCTTTCTGTACCTCAGGATCGAACGGATTCAAATCCTTCAAGTTGAGCATATGCGTATCGATTCTATGTTTCGTTTCATCCAAATTAACTTCTTCGACTATGTACTCATTGATTGCGGTGTTGTTGGCTATAAATTGTGTGTATTCCTTCCAATCTGCATCCTTTTCATTGAACTCTGGTTCAGGTTGCTTGACGTAAATACTTCTTCCAATATCATCTTCTTCTTCAGTTTCTTCTGCTTTCATTTCAGCCTCTTTCTCGAGTTCTTTGCCAAGTTCTTCTTCCACTTCATGTTCAACGATTGGCGGCTCATTTGGCAATGCCATCGATAGCTGTTGTGTCCAATTCAACCGAGTTTTATCGCATATAGCTGGATTGTTGATGACATTCAGCCGCTCCTCCTCGGTTATCTCAATGCTCAATCGAAAAGATTTATCGGTCAAATTACTCTTATTGGCCGCTCCAATCGTCACACTTTTGGCAAAACTTTGCTCCAATTTAAATGATGGTAGCTCAAGTGATTTGTCTCCCGTGTTCGGTGAGTTGGCACACTGGGCTTCAAGGAACTCAAACTCTTCGGTTGTGTCCAAAAGTTCGAAAAATGTATCACTCGGCCTTTGAGCCGGTTTAGTTTTCTTTGGCGGCAACGGTGCTTTGAATGCAGATTCGTCTTTGAGGTTTCGAGTCGCATTCAAGTAGTTGGTCGCATTCGAATTGGTCGTTGCGTGTTTGGTTGCATTGAAACCATCAGGTTTGGTGGCATTCAATACGGATTCAATCATTTTATTCACATTCGCAATGGTGTCTTCAATTGTTGTGTCTTGCTTCGGTTGTTGAATCTGATTTTCCTTATTTTCAATTGATGTCTCCAGTTTTTGGACATTTTGCCAAACGTTGACCATTGTTTCAGTATTGTCCGTGTAAACATCGAATTTCAACCCATTCGATTGCTGAACTTCTGTTTTCTCTTTCGCCACTTTCATGCTCGGTTGTTCGCTCGAATTTATCACAGCTGACTCAAATTTGCCTGTTGTTTTTATCGGCTCCAGATTGACCAATTGATTCTCATTCACGGCAATATTCTCTTTGTTGCCAACAGATGATTCATTAATCGTTTGTTTGTATGCCGCACTCTTGACAGCGTGCATCGTTAGGGTTTTATCTTCGTAGATCGCGAATCCGACATCGTTGGGTTGGCTCTTGCCATTTTTATCGCCTTGATTATTCAGATCGGGCAATAACTCCGATGATTGATCGGTGAACAGTTTCAGTTTGGTCTCTTCTTGCCAATGGCTACTGACGGTTTCATCCCGATCAAACCTTGGCATTTTTACCTTTGGCGTGCTTATGGCGGAGCTATGTAACAAGTTGCTAAACATTTGTGTGGTGCATGTGTCGTTCAATGCATCAAATGTTGGGAAAATGGAAGATTTCCTCTTTTTATTCCACTCCACCGTGTTCGTGTTCGGTTGAATGATTTCCTTCCTTCGTGGCACTTCAAGCAAAGCGTCTCCATATCCAGATAGCTCCATTTCGACAATTGGTGACAATTTGCTGTCGTTGCTGTTTGTTCGATTGATAAGGCGATTTGATTTCATGACACTTTTGTTCGCTGGTTGAGGTGGTGCGTTTGCCTTTGCTCGCCTCTTATTCCACATGATTTCATCCAGCGAATATTCTTCACTGGAATTTTCCGGATACATGTTAGCCATTCTGCACATAAATCTATGTGGGCCTCGTTCGTTCAGTTCATCGGATGGCTCAATGCGGGGCACGATCCATTTGGGCTGCGGATAATTCTTGCGCGCAAACACATTTGCCCATCGAATCGGCAAATTGTGTCCCACGCCCCAGATTTTATCTTGCTCTTTGGTGAATGTATTCTCGATGCGTCGCTGCTTGAACCATTTGTATGCTTTCAGTTCATCGGCCGAAAAGGCCATATTTGTCCCCGGCACCAACATGATTTTATCATAGCGCGGTAGTTCTCCTCGGAATGTGCCGATCGATGGATCGTTGTATGGTGTGGGCGGAACTTGTCTTTGCGGAAGATTTTTTGACTTGAAATTTTGGCCCAATTGGATTCCCCTTTCGTACATATTCGGCTCTAGCCGTGCTGTAGTCGCCTGCGCACATGCATTCTCATTGAAGTCAAGGCGACAGGCTTTTTTAATCAATTTATTGCTTTTCTCTCGTCGCATCTTTCGTGCACTATCGATGATATTCTGTGCGACTGACGTATTATGCCGTTTCTCTGGCGTCGTTTTGCCCATTTCACAATTTGGTATGCAAACGCTCATCAATTGCGATTTATCGAACATTTGTAATGCCATTGATTTCGCTGCGTTGACGCTCGTTCCATCGATTCGAAGTGATGCTATATCCTCCAACTGCTTTTTCATTCGGCATTGAAGCTGTTGCTGAAAATTGGTATCGGATTTGTATAACATTCGTTGTGACATTGAATAACCGAATGCTTGATGAGCCGATTTCAATAAGTTCAATGGTTCGGCACCAGCATTCAGGCCACGTCTGAATACTTCATCTGCTTTTATAAATTGGCCAGCAATATCGAAGTGAAAGGCCCAATTAATGTATAAATCAGCCACTTTGTCACCAACAGCGTTTGATACCATCGCATCATAATGCATGTCTTGTTCCTCTTGGCATTGAATCTAGAAAAAAATGAACACGATTCTTGTTTAGTTCCATAAATTTTCCGTTGAAAATGACAGCTGATCACTGTATACGCGTCTTTTGTACTCACAAATTTGATGAACAGTTTAATGAGTCGTCGATCCTGCTTGTATAATGCATCATTCTCAAATTGGCATAGACATGCTGCTAAAATCTCATCGAAAATTGTTTCCTTTCCTTTGAGGTCAATGATAAAATTCTCTTCCATCCAAAGTAAATACGCATACCATGGGGCTAAACGATCGCCACCTGAATAATTTTGAATTTCACTCACATATTTCTTACATTCGAACACAAAACGTTGAAAATTATCGTATTTATGCTGCGGTTGGCTTGCCATTTTTCAATTAAAATATACAAACAATCAAACAAATATAAAAAAAAAATGAAAAAGACCACAAACATAAAATTCTATATGGTATGCGATACAACGACAACTTTTTAAATGATTGCTTGTTGTTTTGAGTCCGATTTTGGTTTTTTCTATTTGTTGTTTTTTTTTAAATTACCACTTTCACTCATTGTTTTCCATGATTGAATTTATGAAATGCTTCGTTTGCGTATCCATTTGTGCGCTAAAAATGGTTTCTTTTCGTCACAAAACTAAGAATGTACAAATATTGTGTGTGTTTTAGTCAATAACAAAGCTAAGCTAAACCGTTGTATTCCAGAGAGTCAAATTGCATTGTCAAACATTCTTTGAAAAATACGTAAGAGTGCGTTCGTTCCGCGATGCGATTTACGTATTCCACTCAATCAATTGGGAACACAACGCAAGTGACAGTTCACGGTGTGAGAGACATGTGCTATAGCCGAATAGAAAACAAAACTGTTTTTTTTAAGAAAGAATTTTTCTCGAAATTTTTCCATTCTGAAGATGGATGTGAAGGAAATTTTTAGACAACTGACCGTCGGAGCGGTTTTTAAACCAGAGGTTTGTTCATTCAATTTGCCTTTGAGTGCTTCTGTTTGTTTAATTTTATAATTTAAATGTTTAGCGGAAAAGAGCGGCACCAGGTTCAGATTTGAAATCCGACATCAAACTGGAAGAAGAGCCCACGGAAGAGACCAGCACCAACCCCAAGAAGAAAGGCAAACCAATGACAGAGGAAAAACAAAAAATGCTTCATACGGAAAAGGTATGAATAGAAAATGAATGATTTGTTGGCGGTTTTACTAATAAATTCTGGTGAATTGCAGGTCAATCACATACGAAACAAACACCACATCAATGTGCACGGTGCAAATCCCCCAGATCCTATTGAAACATTTGAACAATTAGTGAATGATTGTGCGATTCCACAACAAATTGTTAACAATCTCATTTCAAGTGGCTACAAAGAACCAACACCGATTCAAATGCAGGCTATTCCGATTATGTGCGATGTAAGTATATGAACCCAAAGCATACGATTTGTTTGCAAACTTGAACAGTTGGATCTATCGTAATTTGAACGAATGATAATTTTTTTCGATACCATTGTAGGGCAAATCGTTGATGGCTTGTGCGCCAACGGGTAGTGGAAAAACAGCCGCCTTCCTGGTGCCAATTATCAGAAACTTGAAGAAACCGAAGAACAAAGGATTTCGTGCACTGATCCTTTGTCCAACGCGTGAGTTGGCGAAACAAACCCAGCGAGAGTGTCTTCGGCTCGTCGAAGGTATCGACTTGAAAGTTCACACACTGAACAAAATCAATCAGGCTGAATCGAAATACGGACCAAAAAGTAACAAACAATTCGATATTTTGATTACAACGCCGAATCGTGTGTGTTATTTACTCAATCAGGAGAAGCCAATTTTGGATTTAAGCCAGTAAGGAATAATTTCTCCTCTTTATCTTTGGTGATTTGGGCATGTTTTATTTTTCAAACAATTTTTCGTTTCGTTCTAGCATCGAATGGCTAATTCTAGATGAGGCTGATAAATTGTTTGAAGAAGGTAAAAATAGTTTTCGTGATCAGTTTGACAAGATTTATGCGGCATGTTCCAGCGAAAAGATCAATGTCGGCCTGTTCAGTGCCACATGGACGATGCCGGTTTCAAAGTGGGGCAAAAAGAACGCGAAAAATTTGCACACAATTTCAATTGGACAACGAAATTCAGCGACAGATCTAGTCGATCAGGAGTTAGTATTCGTAGGCAATGAGGCCGGTAAAATGGTTGCGTTCCGAAATATGTTGCGCGAAGGACTGAAACCACCGGTTCTAGTGTTTGTTGATAGCAAGGTAAGCTTGCATTGAAGCATATATTTTCATTAAATTATTGATATTTTTTCAATTGTACATTTTCCTTATTCGTTCTTTCAATAGGATCGTGCTCAACAATTGTACTCCGAGTTGATTTACGATGCCATAAATGTGGATGTGATTCACGCCGACCGAACACAACAGCAGCGTGATGATGTGGTGAAGTCGTTCCGCGAGGGAAAAGTATGGGTTTTAATTTGTACAGAGCTCATCGGTCGTGGTATTGATTTTCTCGGCGTAAATTTGGTTATCAATTACGATTTCCCGCCATCGGCAATTTCATACATTCATCGAATCGGTCGAACGGGTCGTGCTGGACGCAAGGGAAAAGCCATCACATACTTCACTCAAGATGACAAACCGAAACTCAGAAGCATTGCAAATATTCTACGAAATTCTGGTTGCAAAGTGCCCGAATACATGCTCACGATTAAGAAACAATCGAAAAAGGTGCGTCGTCAGCTCGAAAAAACCATTCCAAAACGTGCAGACATTGCCGTCGAAAATCCCAATAAGAAGAAGAAGGGAAAATTCAACAAGAAACCTGGACCAGCCAATGGCAAACAAAGCAATGGAACATCAAAAGAGAAACACCAAAAAAATGGTAGTACGGCTGGAAAATTTGTAAAATTGTCAAAAAAACGAAAAGCATCTGTAAGCGAGGGCAATAGTTTAAAAGTGACAAAAAAGAAGAAGAAAATTGACAATTAATTTACATTGAGTTTTAATAAAATTGCGTATATTTTACAATAAAAAAAAAGCATATGACAACCGTTTGACTTTTCATGGAAAACACACTTCGGAGAGTGAAACAATCACATTCTACATTCTACACACAAATGACTTAGCTTATTGTTACACATCAAATTTTGGTCATCAGAAATACACATAAAAATCTAAAAAAAAAAATGTGCATTTAAACACTAGAATATAAAGGCTTTCTCATGGCATTTATGATTTATAGTTTTGTCTATGGCACTAAATAGATCACGTTTCGCATAGCCAATCGCAGGGTAGTTTAGGCATTTGTGACGCTGGCCATGGTAGATACCCAGCCGTCTTGAACACGTAATAGTCATACGAGACTTTTGCTATTATCGTTAGCAGCAGAAATACTTCAGCCGCTATCAAATAGTAAATATAGTCGGTCCAATCGTGCGGTGACTGGCACATTTTCGTTTCCGATAAATCTAACACTTTCTTTGGCATATTGTCGCAGTACACTTTGTCAGCGTCGGGGATTTGGTTCTGTTTCGCCAGCAACCAGATCTGAAACAAATTGAAAAGAAAATTATTCAATTGCATATAAACATATTCGAATTCTATCGTAAAATTTCTTCCTTTTTATTCATTTGTTTCTGTTTTCATAGTAAAAATATTCGTCGTCGTCGATCGATGGAAAATAAATTATTTTATTTTTCTCAAGAAAATTACCTTCAATACTTTTGCAGAGTTACAGTCACAATACACACGGTTTCCTTCGAGAAAAATATTCCGTCCCTCTGGATTCCGGTCGAGTAAATAATATGGTATCTACGAAGAAGAAAAAGAAAATCAGCATTAAATTGTGCATTTTTACATCGATACAACTCTTCACTAACCGATTTTAATTTATTTCGTCGCAGATGTAAACTGTCAAAATTCTGGATAAATTCAGTTCCTTCTATTTCTAGCAATGACTCGACTTCATTATCGTCAGCAAATAATCGTAGCAAATGATTGTACGAGTGATTCTCTACCATTACAGATAAACTGGTAATCTGAAAGGGTAAACGCTTATTTAAGATGTGTTCTAGAAGTAAACTGAAGAAAATAGTTTTTTTTTGCGAAATTTGACAATGACTTGTTGATAAATAAATATGACAAAATAAGAAGGTCTACAACTCGTTCCCAAAAAAAAAAACCGTTTCCAATTACTAACACTATTGTTCGTAACATTCAATGAAAATGTTTTGCCCGGTAGAAGTTCTGGTAAGCTCGTTAGGCCTAAATTCGAGCAATCGACTTTGGCTGCAAAAACTAAATTGTTTTCTCCATCATAGGTCATTCGTTCGGGTATACATGAACAATTCCCCTTGCCGGGAATCGATGGGCAATCGTTGTTCAACTGCTTCATTTTTTCCAATTGACGGATCGGGAGTAAATCGGTCGAATTAAACCATTGAAACGTTTGATTCATTAAACAAGAAGTGGAGTCAGCTTCGATGAATGTAACATTGCCCCGTTCAATGGATTCCAATACCGATTTGCAGAGCATTCCATTGTTGCCGCTAAAAGAGGTGAACAAATGAGAAATCAATTTAATTTTTATGTCAAAAACAAGACGCAACAATTTTAAAGGACAGCAGATTAGTTTTTCATCGATAAAATGTGTGAAAAAATGATAAGTGACAAAAATAATAAATCATTTCACTTACCGAACGTCCAGCGCAAGGTTGAGATTGTTCAAATTGGGTATGGTCGTGAGATTATTATATGATAAATCCAAAACTTGAAGTCTCGTCAAGTCCTTCAATGCTCGCATATTCTGTATGCTATGCAAATTATTGTTCGACATATTCAAGCATTTTGGTTGTGAAAATTTCGGAAACTCTTTAACAATTCGATTCACTCTTCCATCGGTAATGGCCAATGAATCGAGTAATTTCCATGAATTCAATGAAATATTCAATTCGTCCAGGGTGGCATTTCGAACGTGTATATTCATCCAAACGGTTTTATTATCACCATTTAGATTCTCTACACACGAAATGGATCGCTCGAGATCGGTGACATTACAGCAAACTAGGGAGTTTGTGTACACAGGATGTGGCATACATTCTTTGCACGGTTCACTTTCATTGAATTGCTGGCAGAGTTCAGGTTCAGCATAAAAGCACGTACTATTCGGCTGTTGCGGTTCAACAGCCGTCTTCTCAGGCACCGGTGTACTCGTTATCAGCACATTCTCCTCAAACGTTCGAGCCGCCGTTGATGTCATTAAACATATCACTAGTATTCCAATCAGGTACATTGATCCGCTTGCCTAACCAACAAAAAAAACGAAATGCAAAAAATCGATTATATCGCTTAATTTATGGATATTCCATAACAAAAACATCATTAAGATGATAACAAGGGTGTGTCATTGCGACAACACGCAAAAATATTTTTTTTTCTGTTCTACCGAAATTGCGTTGTTGATATGGCACAAACAAAAAACATCGGCTTGAGTTCAACTATCAAGTAATAAATGATGACAAATACATTGACTTTGACTTTTATTGCCTATAAATACATATCGCGTTTTGTTTCTAATATAGACATGTATTTAAAGGATGAATAATATATGTAAAATGCGAATATATTGAATAAGAAGAAGTGAATCAGTAGACAAGTGATAAATCTTTGGTGTTGACTGAATTATTATGCTAATTGTTAGAATCCATTTGCACTTATATGCAAAGAATTTTCGCACTTTCAGTTCCTTTTAAGTTCGCGAAAAAAAAAATAATGAAAGAACAAATTCTTTGTAGAAAAAGACTAGAATTGTTGTTTGGTTCATTGAACGTGGTGCTAAACAAAAGTGATCGAATGTCAAGAACAGCACACAAGACGTTCTGTCTCCCGACACCGATCACGACTGATGTCAGAACGTGTTTCTTTTTTTTACGTTGCTAACAATAACGTTGAGGCAAAAAAAAGTTCTCACATCGCAATTCAGTTCGATTGTAACACTTGACTGCATAAATCAAATCCATAACTTGGCAATGACGTATGTGCTGCATGCGGAAGTGAATTGTCAAATGGTAGGCACACTATAATTTAAATACTTTAAACACGAAAGGGTTCAAAGTCGCAACTACTTCATCATGAAGAAAGTAAAATTAAATCAACTAAAACTGGATTTTCAATGTGATAACATTTGAACCTACCATGATTACCAATCAATCGCGATGTCGGTGTGTTAATGTTGTGTGTCGTTGTTTTTGCGTGTATGTGTTTGTGAAAATAGTCTTGAGTTTTTTTCAATTAAATACAATATCACTTGAACATTATCATTCTATTTGAGTGTTGACTTGAGAATTGGGACGCACACGTAAATCAAATCAAATGTCCATTTCGTGTAATAAACCACACGTTAAACCACATCGTTGTGTTAACTGAAACGAAAATACCGTATTTAACCGCATTTGAGTAGCCAATTCACAGACAAACACACAAATTCCGATCGACTCGTGTCGATGTATGCGATACTATTTTTTGACAGATGTAGATTATGTTGTTGTTTTGTTGTTTTGTTGTTGTACTGTTTCGATTGATTTTGGTTAGTTGTTTTCGCTTTCAATTTACGTCGAAAATTGATTGTCTAATGAAATTATTATTGAATGGCACATTCATTTACATCAATTGACATTTATGACTGCTACCGATGATCGATCAATTATTTTGCTTCTTTTTTTTCTACTTTTTCTCTCACTTGTTTAACCAACGGAATTTGAATAACAATAAATGTTTCACAATAGGCGTATTTTGTGCGTGTTTAAAACTTATTTTACTTTCAATTGAATGTCACTTGATGGTTGGAGATAACCGATGGAAAATTGGTTGTCTGTTCACTGTGTATTGTGTCGTCGTCGTCGTCGATCAGATAAAGCCCTTTGAGATTGCAGTGAGTCGAATTCTTTTAATTGAAATAGCTCCGGATAGAGGTGGAGGACGCTTGTGTTTGTACTGAATGCTCGTCTTTAATTGAGTGTCGTGTGTGTGCGACTTTGCTTGTTCTATCAATTGGTTATTTTTAGACAAAATCTTTTTAGACCGATCGTTGTATACAGCCTACAATTCAGATTAATTCCACTTTTTCCTCAATGTGTGTATACATATATATATATATTTATATATCGTGAATTTACGATGATTTGTACTTGTTTACTCATGGCTTAAGATTGCAATTTTTCGATTGAACGTTTTTTCCATTAATCTCTACCATATCTCACTTTGTAAACCAATTAAAGTTTAATACTTTATCAGTAAATACGAGGCACACGCAACGCAAACCATTTCTGTGTTATTATTGATACAAAATACACGCGATGCAATTAGATAATAATATTATAAGTAAAATACAGCAAACAAAATAATAAATGTTGTCAACACAATATTTCCAAATCCGAAATCTCAACAAAATTGAACTGTTTTGTTTGGCAAACAACTCACAAATGACAATTCTTTTTTTCACAAAATGATTCTCCCTTATTTCATAGCACTTTTATTGGACAAATAACAACAAAACCAAACTAACTAAGGAATGGTCTCTGTGTGTTTCAGTCGACGAGTCGAAAAAAATCCATGCATCCGCACGATTTGAACGGTCTCATGCAACTGATAAACAGCAAGCGTAGCCATAGTGTTGTATGGGCTGTACGACAAAGAAAAAAAACCTGTCTCTCACACTCTGCATAGAAATAGTACATAATAGTTGCGTATATATTCGAAATGGATCGAGAGAATGCGATGCGGACGCTCCAAGCGTAAAATGATCATAAATACACAATAGACTGTGCACAAAGTCAATCGGCAGAAAACAAAACACAAAAAATGTCAATATAATATACACACTCGCCGCATACATATGTGTATTTCACACTCGCCTCTTTCGTTCGCTATCTACGGCCATAAGACGAATTATTCAATTGAACACGATTAAAATACGACTGTGTCAGTTTATCGACCAAATGAAAATAAGGACGTATCACTCTCGTTTATTGTTTGCTTTATTGTGTTTATTATAAAAAAAAAGAGAGAAAAAAGAAGCGTTTAAATGCACGAAAATTATCAAATAAATGGAAGGGTTTATGACATGAACGGATTTCATTCACTGTATTCCTTGCGCACGGCTTTGGCAATTGTACTGAGCTGCATGTTTGTTGTTCCTTCGTAAATTGAACCAATCTTGACATCACGATAGAATTTCTCTTGTGGGAAATCTTTGGTAAAACCGACTCCTCCCATCCAGTCAATACACTTGATGGTTGTCGTTTGTGCGATTTCGGATGCATAGTATTTGGCCATGGCGGCTTCTTTCATGAATGGTGCACCGGCTTCAACCAAACGGGCCGCATTGTAGGTCAATAGACGAGCCGCTTCGATTTGTGTCGCAATGGTGGCTACTTGATGTTGCATCGATTGAAAGTCATAGATCTCTTTGCCGAATTGTTTACGTTCCAACAGGTATGGGATTGTAGCATCGTAACAGCCTTGAGCAATGCCAAGCATTTGAGCACCAATACCGATACGACCTTCATTTAAATAGGCAGCTGCATATTTGTATCCGTGGCCAATTACTCCGAGCACATTATCTTTATGCACTCGAACGTTATCAAAGTGGAGCATACACGTGCCAGATGCTCGAATACCTAATTTGTTTTCTTTTTTGCCAACGGTGAAACCGGGCGTATCTCGTTCAACGATGAAAGTGGAGATTCCTTTGTAGCCCTGGGAAAGCGAAAAAAAAAATAATTAGATTATTTTTGTTTTTAAAAGTCTGAAGTGGATGAGCTCACCTTTGATGGGTCAACGTTGGCCATCACCAAAAACACCTGTGAAACGTCCGAGTTTGAGATCCACATTTTTGTACCATTGATCACATAGTGATCGCCGTCTTGTTTGGCTGTTGTCTTCAGTCCAAAGGCATCTGACCCTGATGATGGTTCAGTCAATGCAAAGCTGCCCGATGCTTGTTGCGCCAAAATTGGCAAATATTTTTCCTTTTGTGCTTCCGTACCAACTTTTAACATCAAATTGTTTACTAGAGTATTATGAATATCAACATAGGCTCCGACTGATGCATCTACTTTCGACAATTCTTCAACAACCAGCATTGAGGTCATAAAATTGCACCCACTGCCACCATACTCTACTGGCGTTTCAATTCCCATCAGTCCATTATCAAAGAGCATCTTTATCACTGTTGCGTCCAATTGATTGTCTTCATCCATTTTTGATACCAACGGAGCGATTTGCTCTTTCGCCAATTTTGCCACTGAAACATTGAGGAACAACAAAAATCATAAACATTTATTCTGTGTGTTGTAATTAGAAAAACCCGCTATCAATTTGTTTACTATTTGATTGTTTTTTTCCCAATCGCTCGGAAATATTTCACGTCATAGATGAGAAATGCCATTTGTAAACATGTTTTTATTATCATCAGCTTTCGCTGTTTAAAAATAGTTCTCCGTTCAATCTAAAATTGTTGTTTGGTTCATATAGATGTGCCGCAGTTGGGCTGCGCACAAATGCGTAATATAGATATATGATTGTTTGGAGTAAATATTTGAGCATTTCACATTGTTTGCACTGCACAAACAAATACTTCAAAAGACCCCATTGTTATCGGATAGAGAATAAATCAAACCATCCTTGTCAAAACTTAACCATTACATCGTTATTTACTCGAGGTAAACATAATTGTTCCGAGGAAAAAGGAGCTAATGGAAAAATTAAGCCAAGCGTCCGGTGTGTCGAGTTTGTGCGAATAACGCGTACAAAGCAACAGAAAAAAAAAAACGAATGAGTTATGTATTTTAATTGTGTCAAAAGGAGGATCGTCTCAATATATACACACGACTAACACATTCGCATTGGACTGATACAGATTCACCGTATACGTGGCCATTTATAGCCCACATGTGAAACATATTTAACGTGATTTTTTTTATCTGAACAGATGAGCCTTCCGTTTCGGACAAACGGCGCCCGGCTTATTTTATGGTGAAAAAAAAAATGAAAAATAAAATCGAACAATTTGCAGACAATCTGGATTATGCAAATGACCCGAAAAAACCGGTTTTCCACCTTATTCCACTTAAGATCGGCTGATCTTAATTATCACCATAAAGCGTAAAAAATGGAAATTAACACATAATTTTGTTCCATAAAAGTGTTTGGTGAAAAACAACTGAGCGATATTTTTTTTCACACTCTCTCCCGCTCGAATGATGATGAGTCGACAAAAATGCGTTTGTTTTTCAGTTCATTATCAGTTTTCAGTCCTTGTTTACCAGTTACGATTATAAATATTTTGTAGAGAGTTTCAAGTTGCTGCTCTCAATCAAACTGTTTTCAAGCACATAGCAACGCATTAGAAACATCACACAGAGCAAATGATATTTTTTGTCGCCTTGAATTCAATCAATTTTCGATAATAATATACTTTGCATGGTCATTGCAATTTTGCGTGTGGAAAATGAATGATTTACAAACCTGTTTCCTTCATCATTTTCTCGTCTTCGGTAAGAAATGTCACTGGTACAGCCTTTTCCACAATTCCCGTACTGTACATCATTTGGGGCCGCTTCAAAGCATTGCACATGTGCTATAACAAAAAAAAAATTATAAATTTTCCCCATTCAATTTGATTAGAAAAAAGCAAATCATCCATTCACAAAATACCTTTGATAAATTGGCAATATTCCGTATGGTAAACATGTTTAATTCACTAATAAATCGAGGAAAAAAGTAATAAAATTTTATGTCCACTTATTTTAATTTATGAATCGATTTCTTTTTCCTTCGTTTCTGTTATACTGATCCAGATCGGTCTGAACTCAACGAATTTTCTTGAGCTTCTGTGTGAGAAAGTACGTTACTCAGCTAAAATTTGGCTCTAAAATTCGGTGTGAGTGAGTGTGTGTCGTGCGTTGAGAAAAATACATGTTTGTATTAAATGATCAAGGCGATGCGAGATACAAATACACATATAGAGGATTTCTGTTTTTATTTTGACATACGATCGCCTCTGAATGCTTTATGTGCTTGTCTCTCTCTTTCTGCTTTTCGTGCATGTTATCACCGACATCTAAATGCGAACCACAATGATTTATTTCTTGTTTGTCATTAACAACATCGCATTCGGGTGCGCGCTGTGTGTGTGACTTACATTAGCTACACATTGTGCGCTTGTGTATGCGATTAGTTTACTCACATTATCGGCTCGCATGCGATTGTTGTCTAATCACTTTGTTGTTACTAAAAACAGATTTTTGGAATACAAAGACAAATTGAACAGAGGAAAAGAGATGAAAAGATAATTTGGTCGCATTAATTGCTTTTTAATTTGTTCGTTTATTCATGTTGGTGTATCCAACACCGATACACGTTAACAGTACTTTGTTTGCACCGGGCAAAACGTCATCTTCATCAACGCCACCATAGTCTTCTGGCTTTGGATTGTCTAGTTTGAATGTTATGGCAAAGAATTCGTGTAAATGTTGCAGGAAATGAATTGTGTAGTCGGACAGTGGCCCAGTTAAGAATTTTGATATATTTTTCTGTCCCAAAGCCATGTACAACACGGTCAACCATTGGAAGGTTGAATCCACACAGCCTCCGCGATATATTTCTTCCAACAATTTACAAGCGGCTATCACTCCGAGGTCTTCGGGTATTGTCACTGTTTCACCCTGGAATTTTTAGAATGAAATTTTTTTATTTTCAATTTTTCATTCAAGCCAAGATGAATATTTTGAAAAGGATGCCTTTTTCATTGCAAAGCCTCGAATTTGATAATAAGCGATATTCTTCACTCTCAATCGCTCTCAGTATAACATTTTTTAATCTCACATGCTGCACTTACCTTCGATACATCATTCGACACGTTCTCTGCACTATAAAAAACACCTTCTGTTGTTTCAGCGACTAGATTGATCCCAAATCCAGGGCTATTGCCGGCGCTTTTGCCTTTGTTTTGATCGGCATAAATATAAATATCGGGAATGAATTCCAATAGTTTGCCCTTAGCCGCTTCGATGGCACGATTTCCCAATGCCGGTGACACTTTCGATGTATACGCAACGCCACGGATTCGTTTGATCATACCAGGTTTTCCGAATTGTAATGATCTCAATGTTTTTCGTACTGGACATTTGAATATGATTTCACCGCCACCCAATGGTCTCATGCCGCGTTGCTTGATTTTCAACTCAAGACCTTCGTCAACGACTAAAAATTTCAGGAGATTCGGCAGTGCAGAGCTTTTGATGTGATCAACTGACGGACAATCTTTGCTGTTTGTGATTCCGCGCAGTGTGGCATGGATTGGTACCTTACAAAATGGACCAAGTGCAAGCAAAACATCCAAATAATAACCTGGAATTACAAAAAAAAACAAATTCAATCACATACTTTATTCCATGCACACTCAATTAATGTTACTCACCGATTCCCCGTTCCAAGTTACACTCATGATGAATAACGCCACCATTTAAAATACCCGGCTTGAACAAGATTGATGTCCCACTTTTGTTGATATCAATCTCAGAACCATTGGAAATTTTGTCAAACATCCGAATCAAACTGACCTCGTAGCCACGCAAACCTGGTGCAGCGTCTTGACTACGAATATTAACAATGTGCACGGATTTTCCACTGAGAATCGATAAAATCAGCCGTTGCTTCAAGAAATTGCTCCCATGAAATGTTAATAAGTTTCGTTCACGTGAAACTGTCTTCATTTTATCGAATTTTTGGTCTGTTTATCACTTATCAAAACTACGGTACTTGTTCAACATGTGAATGAAAACCGATGAAATTGTGAGGTTATGGTCACTCACATGCGATTTGGATGTAAATGTCATAACATCGTTTGAATGTGACATTTGAGAGAATTGCCCGAAGCAACTTCATTGCGAATGGCTGTTACGTTTTAGGCTTCGTTCCCATCATTCGGCACTTGTGTTGAGTGGAAATTACGAATACAATGTAGCGCAATTTAATTCTAACGTCCAGGCCGCGCTAGCGTCCTATCTAAATACATTATAATGAATAAGTACAAACTAATACATATGCATTTCTACTATGAATACGTTTCATGCTATGTGTTTTAATTTCATTTAATTTTGGAAATTGAAAAAAAAAATATTTCTCGACAAATCATATTTTAAAACATCATTGCAATAAAAAAAAACTTCCAAGTAAGAATGAATATATTGATATTGAGTAAGAAAATTCGGTGAAATCGGTGAAATACTTGAATCAAACATAAACGTTTGAAAAACGTACGACGCGCGCCAAAGCATAAGTGATGTCAAAGTGTGTACAAAGAGTGAAGCAATAGTGCGTTTAATGCTATGTGCTATAGTGTCTCTGTTGATGTTGATCGCTGACGTTTATAGTGGTAGCTAACGTCTCTATTCGCTATAGTTCTCATAATTTGCACTCGATGGTTTCAACAGAGTTCGCAGAATTGCATCATACTTTCTAGCACTCTCTGATGTGGTTTTTATAAGTGAGTGAAAGATTTCACAAAGGCGTAAATCATTCTAACAGCGATTTCGAACCGAAACGGTTGTGCTCTTAAGATAAAGAGAAATTTGGAAACAAATTTTAAGCTACAGTGAAAAGATGAAATTGAATATTATTTTATTGCTAGTTTTATTGGCATCTCAAACTTATGCCGGCCCAATTGCTGCTGGTATCTGTTATGCAGGTGAATTTGGAAATTATTTTTGTGTGAATTTGATGAACTGGAATTAATTGAAATGTTTGATTTTTTTGTTTGCGTCAATCTCAAATGAATATGAAGGATGTGCAGCAGTCACGGTCGCTTGCTTTGCAGCAGCTGGATTTACCTTTGGTACCGTTCCAGGTTTGTGATAATTTTCATTAAACAAATTTTTAAATCATTTATCTGTGTCGCTGAGCATAAAAATGGATATATAGATATGTTATAATCAAGAACCGAAAATGAAAAATTATTTCGTAAAAACGCAACATGAAT